AACCCCAAAGAGAACAATGAGACCCACAACACGACAAGGGATTTCTAAACTCCAGGAAAGCTAAATTAGGTTTATAATAGGACCTTGACCCGTTGTTTATGTCGCAACAAGAACCAAAGGTAAAAACCTTGACCCATTGTCTATGACGCAACAAGAACCAGAGGTATAAAGTTGGTTGACGCCACACCCTTGAACGATTAAGAACGAGAATGATAAGTCAGGTTAGAACACCACAAGAATAATCTTGATAAGTTCTGTAAAGTTCTGAAATGAACCAAAGAGAAAAGTCTCTCAAAATCTCAGATTCAATAGCCCCCTCCCCATTAGGGTCACAAGGCTTTTAAATAGAGAAAACAAATCCTAATCAGAATAGGAAACTAACACCCTAAGTCCTAAACGTAATAACCACGAATTGGGCTTCAAATAAGCAAATGTTCAGCCCAAAAATAATACAAAAAACGTGAAAATCACTAAAAAAAAACCTAAAATAACACGAAATATCAGTTTGCTACAAATTGCTGCAGAATTGTGCAATTTTGACGCAAACTGTGTAATTCTGTGCAAATGACTTCAATTAAGCTTCTCTTGAACCTGAATGATGTTTACCATGCCTTGATAATCATCCAAGCTTCGATTTGCTTGTTGTATGTTGTTATCAACCCAGATCTGCTCAATAAGGCCATTTAAAGCTTCTCGCATCTTCTCAGCTCTAGCTCTCATGATTAGACCTCCTGGACTGTGTAATGGATCTCTTTGATGTGGTACATGTGGGGTCATCTTGATTCCCATCAGTTCCTTGTGGAACCCGAATTCTAGGTTTTGACCCTCTTTTTTTTCATTTTATTTTTATTTTTTATTTTGAATGTATCTATTTTAGTTCCCTATTTTCTTGTTGGAAAGGTGAGATTTTTTGCTTGGAGATTGTTTCTGGACAGGTTGCCAATTTGAGTTCAAGTGGGATTAACATCGATGGCAATAATGGTTTCTTCGTTTTTTATGGGAAAGTGGTGGAAAATGCAAATCATGTTTTTGTGCAGTATTCATTTACTTATAATTGTGTGGATGGAGATCTTAGCTTGGTGGGGCATTCACGTGAAATTGGATTCCACGAGGAACCAAAACCTAGGTTTGTGGAACCCAGCAATTGGGTTCCGCGAGGAACCCAAAAGGATGATGAAGAGGATGGTGAAGATGATGCCGAGAGAGAGGAGAAATGAGAAACTGTATATTACCATAGCCAGCAAATACAGTGCCAACTCAACCATTATTGCCAAAAGAAAGGTGGATTATATTACCAAACCTAGGAGGAAGATGATGCAGAGGGAGAGGAGAAATTAAAATTAATTAAAATTATGCCACATCATCAAAAAATAGTCCGCGTGCAGTGGGCCCTATTACACACATGGCATCCACATGTGCAGAAAATTATGGGAATCAAGACGACAGCATATCTACCACGTCATGTGATCCATTACACACCCAAGGAGGTCCAGTCACGCAAGCTAGTGTGCTAAGAAGATGCGTGAAGCTTTAAATGGCCTTATTGAGCAGATCTGGGTTGAAAACAACATACAACAAGCAAATCGAAGCTTGGATGATTATCAAGGCATGATAAACATCATTCAGGTTCAAGAGAAGCTTAATTGAGGTCATTTATGCTAAATTACACAGTTTGCGTCAATCTCGCAATTCTGTTGCAATTTGTAACAAACTGATATTTCATGTTACTTTAGGCTACTTTTAGTGATTTTCACATTTTTATATTATTTTGGGCTGAACATTTATTTATTTAAGGCCCAATTCGTGGTTATTATGATTAGGGCTTAGGGTGTTAGTTTCCTATTCTGATTAGAATTACTTTTCCCTATTTGAGGGAAATTATTGAATCTGAGTTTTTGAGAGACTTTTCTCTTTGGTTCGTTTCAGAACTTTACAGAACTTATCAAGATTATTCTTGTGGCGTTCTAACCTGACTTATCATTCTTGTTCTTAATCGTT